CGAGTCCGGCTGGAGCTCCCCTGCCTGCGCCCGGTGGGGAGCATTCGCCACGGAGGGGAAGGCGCAGCGCACAGCCCAGCAGCTGCCGTGCGTGAGTGGGCACTGACGGACGGGGCTATTCAGCAGCACTGCCACGGGTGTCCTCGTGCCGAGGCCATCACAACCCCGGCTGCCAGCCCATGCCCTGCAGAAGCCCTGCTCGCAGCTCCCTGCATCCCTCTTCCCCCCGGCGCTGGCTGCGGTTCCGGCAATGCCACCGCACATGGCAGTCACTACAGTGCTGTCTCCCCTCTGCCTGTCTGTCTCACCAGCAGTCCTATCTGGGACGGTTGCACTGCCACTGCCTGCGTGGCAGGACTCAGAGCTTCGGTCCCCGTGGGAGCACGGGCGCATCGCTCAGCCGTGGCAAGGGGGAGCCCGGCGGGAAGGAGGGAGGTACCTGTCCTGCGGCTCCATGGCTACCTCTGCCCCAAACGTACTCCACAGCGTGGGTGGAGCGGGTTTGCAGGAGAGCCGTGAAGACCCTGCAGGACCTGGAGGGCTTCCTGAGCACGCCCCAGGCTGCCGGCTGGCCAGCTTGCTCGGCAGTGGCAGTCCCAGACTGCGCTCCATGCCTTCCCAGGCACAAAGCTGGCCTGGCTGACGCCCAGCTCTGCCCGACGCGCCACTGCAGAAGGGTGCTCTGTGAGCGCTGGCAACACCAGAGCCAGCCCTGCACAGGCTAACACTACACCCCAACACCCAGGCAAAGGAGGCTGGCAGCTGACTCTTAGCGTCCCTGGCCAGAGACACCCCTCTGAAAACACAAGTGTTCCTGCCCGGTCACCAGCAACAGGGGACGAGAAGTGAGACATTACCTCTGCTCAGCGTGGTGTCCTTCTTGTCTGACAAACTCATGGCCAGTGACGCCCCTTCGGGGATCTGCGGAGGAAGGGAAGAGCAGATGTTGATAATGGGGGACTTAGTGGTGCCTCCCACAGAGCTGGGGACAGCCCCAGGGAGATCCCGGGAGCTGGGGGATGCTGGTGCAATTGTTGCTCTGCCACGAATGTCCTCTACACCTGCCCTGGCCCTGCTTCCTGGCTTGGGAACTGGCAGTAACAGCACTGCCCTACATGGAAAGGGTTTTTTAAATGCAAGCGCAAGATAGTGAGGTTCTCAAATCCGATGGGAATCAGGCAAACGCATGTATCGAAGATACATTTCTGGATGTCAACACCAGGTAATTTGAAGAGGAAAGCGTTACGCTGTGCAGGTGCTGTTTTGCCTTTGCCCAGAAGGGGAGAAGGAACCCGGCTGCAGCCCAGACCCGCGGGGCAGGTACCACCTCTCTGTGCTGCGGCTCTGCCGCTCGGCGCAGCAGGGCACCGTGTCAGCAGTGGAGCTCCATGGCACGGCTGTTACACAAATAATAATATTAATAAGTACTCAGCTGCATTTTCGGTTTTCCATGCACTGTTACAGACCAGTGAGGATTATGCTCCCAGGCATACCAGGGAATATGGAAATCACATAAGAATTTCTGGTTTAATTTAATTTTAAAAGGAAAAATGGCCAAGGAAACAATTTGGTATGTCACATTTCCCCACGCTTTTGGCCTCTGCTTCTTGATGGCATCCCTAGCGCCTGCTCTCAGGGCAGGCAGCGACAATTGTGCCAGTGATTTAAGCAGGAGCACGGATCAAGAGCAGAGTGATACTAATCAGCCAAGCTGGTGGCCGTTGGGAATAGGAGCTTTTTTTCCTCCTCTTTCTGTTGTCAGTAATAACTTGTTTTGCATGAAGAGTGTTTAATTAGTTTCAGTGTGTTGCAATATTAACGAGCTTCTCGCCAGGGCAGATGTCTATTCCCCGGAAGCTTTCACGGAGCTATGGCAACCTCCCTGCTTGTTCCTGATAATCCTGTTTTTGGAGGGGGAACCGCAGCTCACCCCTGAGGCCAGGCAGGCTCCAAGGAAGCAAAGCTTTCCTGCAGCACTGGCAGGTTTACCTTATAATGCGCTAATGTGTTGAGTTTCTTTCTGCCGTCCTCCATCACCGAGGTGTCATCAAGGTCCCGAAGGATGTAGCTGTCAGTGCTGGTGGCGAACCACTCTGAACACAGAGAAGGGAGTGAGACACCAGCCCGAAGGAGGCATGTGCAGCGGGGTCTGGGGCTCAGGGGCCAGCCACGCAGCGCTCGGGGGCTGCACAGCCCTGCTGCCAAGGCCTCCAGGGCTCTGTGAAACCAGAGCAGATGTTTAGCAATGGCATCCAGGGTTAGCCCCTGGAGCGGGGATTTCCAGACTAGAGCAGACATGGGTGGAGCTGGGAGAGGTGACAAAGGGTCTGCTCGGGGAGACAGGGAGGAGCACATCTCCCCTTCCCCTCTCCCTGCTTGCCCCTGAGGGCCGTGTGGCACCTGCCTTGTGGAGGACCGGGCAGGTGAGATGCCGTGTAGCCTGCAAGTGGCCACCGAAGGTCGGTGGCGGCTCCCCGCCGGGCAGAGCTGCTCATGTATCTGTGACCAGGGGACATGCCACGAGCGCCAGCTGAGAGGAGCGCGACCCCATCACTGCTCCAGCCTGGGGCATTCTTCTACAGAGACTCCCTCTGGCACTGGGTAGATAAACGACAGATCTGAATCTATGGCAAGACAGGAGTCCATGGGCTCAATTATAGCTGCTTATGGAGACATACAAATTAACAAGGCATGTGCAAGCTCAGGGCTGTTTTAGAGGGTACCTGTTCTGGCGTTAAGACTACAGGCTTTAATAGGTGCAAGTCCGAGCATCCTTCTGCTCAGCTTGGACTTTCCTAAAGCTCCTTTCCAGTTACATCACTCCCTCCTGCCCACCAGGACCTGGTTCCATCACTCATTCCTGAAGACCATCCTCAGGAAAAGGCTGCCTTGATGTCTGCCCTCTCATCAGTGCTGCTTCACCCATTGCCCTCTGATAGACACCAAGAGCTACTATGTAATGTCAGGTGCTTCATCTGGTTTTAAGGACCGCCTGGTCCAATGCATCTGATCCTTACCAAGGTCAACGTCTTCCACCCTTGGCCATTGGGAGTAGGGGACATTCTTGCAGAAGGCCTCCAGAATCTTCTCCTTCACTTGGCTAAGTGTGTCTGTGTCCATGGCCCTGACACTCAGGGAGTCCATCCCGCAGCCTTGGAAGGAGACGTTGAGGTTCTGTGGGCAGAGGCTGCGTTAGGGGTGACCTGCCCAGCTGTGCTGGCTCCCAAGGACACACAGAGGCTGCTGCGTCTGCACAGCTTTTGCTGGTGTGCTCTGGGCTCTGCACAGCTGGAAATCAGACTGAACAAATGCAGTTATCTAGGCTTTACCACTAGTGAAGGGCACTGATTTATAGCCCTTGGAGGCTGAAGGCCCCTGTTTGTTGATGGAGCCAGGAGGACACAGGGAGCAACACTGCAACCTCCTTTCACGGCTGCCTTGCTAATGGGCCTTAGCCCTGACAGGCAGAGACCACCTTGGGGGCAGGAGGAAAGGTCAGCCCCTGTAACCAGTCATGTCCTCAGCTTCTTGGCTCCGACCGGTGACAAATGGGACTGCCAAGGCTCATTGCTCAGCCTCTCCCTGACGCAATGGGCCAAGCTCCTTTGTTTAAACAAGCTTTAAGCACGCTGCAGGCTGGGTCTGCTGCAACGCTGGAGCTCACCACCAGCACCACCCAATAACCTGCTCGAGAACATACTGAATAGTGGGACAAGGAGCTGCAAGGGGGTGCAGGCTGCCGTGAACACCAGCTCAGACCTCAGGGATGCCCAGATACTGCTACAGTCACAGCAGAAAGCTGCAGGGCAATGACAGTGACTCTTCCTATAAAAAACCCCTCCTCTTTTGGGAGCTGCTGCCATGCCAGTCAAGCGAGGAGAGGCAGAGTTCAGCTGCCTCCTCCTCTTGCAAGCTGTGCAGACCCAAATACTACAAGCATGGCATCTTCCTCCTGCCCGGAGGCTTTGCTCTGGGACAGCCACAGCTTGAGTCCTCTGCTCCTTGGTGTGCCTGAACCTGAGGGCAACACTGCACCTTCATTTAGTGGTGGATGCAACCCTGAAGCCATCTCACTGCCTGACTGGCAAGCCCAGAGCAGGAAGCTGCAGATGCCAGGAGCATTGCTTGTGCATAAGCACAGCTGCCTCAGACGGACGCCTGGTACACATGAGACTTACAGCTGGGATTTTCACAGCCTAGAGGTTCCTTTGCAAACACTGCTTTTAAGTTATCGGGATACAGAGTCAGCATCCTTGACTATGAGAACAATGCGAAAGGACAGATGAAGTCCAATTTTTTCACATAGTTTTAAATTAAGATGTTTTTTCACACTGTATACTGGGCAGGTGTTTTTTAAAGCAGAGGTTCAGTTACCAGCAACGTGGGGGCTCTCCTTCCTCCAACATACGCTGTTCACTTTTGTTTCCCTTCTTGCAAACAAAAAAGGAAGCAGCCACACTTCCCCTGCTCAGACTTATGAAGTTACCATTTCTGCCGAGAAAGCTAATACTTTGCGCCCTGCTGCTAACCCCTCTTGGTCTACGCTGTAAATTTACAGGTCAATTCGTAACAGGAATCTGCAGAGGTTGTAGAGCTTGAACCTGCTCTGAGTTACGGTGACGCACATCTGGGGTAACCCACTGACTTCAGTGAAGCTGCTCCACATTTATGCCAGGTAATTGAAAGCAGGATTTGATCCAGGCTCTGGAAAGGCATCTGCTGAATTCTGTGTCAGGCACTGGAAGGAACTGAGCCCTTCACACGCACAGCACTCATCTGCTCTGCTCCCAAAGGAGGTATTTCGTAGTGGTGCTTTTCAGCACCACTCCGGTAACAGCCTGGGCAAAGCCCTCACACTGGGACTCAGGTTTGCAGCCAGCACCTTCCCACTGCTAGTGAGGATGCTCTTTTGCCAGGAATGGTAAACATGTTACTTTAACTCTCTGAATATGGCAGAACAAATTTTATTACCTCTCTCCATCCCTAATCTGAGGTACTTAGGTGACCCACCAAGGGACAGACATGAAAACAGTCATTACGAGCCCTGTTCTGTAGTCGTGTGCTTAGGTAGCTACAAGGTGCCTGTGTAGGCGTATAATTCGTGTGGTTATCGCACCTGCGCAGGTACCAAATCAGCCGCTTGCACAATCACCCTGCCAGGGTACGCGTCCATCAGACCCCCAGGGTGTAGGTACTCACCCTTGGCTTTGCCTCGATGTTCTCCCTCAGGAGCCACTCCTCATTGAGGGTGTACCTGGCTTTCCCCGTGATGGCATCGATGGACCCTTTGTTAATCTGTTGTTTGATCGCACAGATCAACAGGAAGAAGGGCTCTCCGACCGTCTCCTGGGGGAAGGAAAGAAGACCAAGTGAGCAAACTGGACCTGGTGGCAGTAACTCCTTCCAGCAGCGTGGCGGGGACAGGCTCTGAACAGACACTGAAGCCAAGAGAAAACCCTGGTGTGCCTCCGCGCACCGGGAGGCAGGACTGGTCCATGCCAGGTGCTGTGAACCCCCGGCAGGTGCTCAGTGCCGTGGCCCACCAGCATCTCTGAGGCTGCTCAGAAGTTTTCAGACTTGTGGCAACATGACAGCGCAGACGGAAAAGAGGACATAACAGTTGACAACAGCTACAGGCGATTTTTGGGGAGGGTGAACTGTGATTGTCAGCACCAACATACCCTGTCCAACTTCTACAGCAAGTACTGTAGGGCTGTGGATTGCCACCATCAGGCTGCGCTGGCATTTGCTGTCTCACAGGCAGAGCGCTCGGGTACTGCTCAGAACATGGGGGCATACGTGTAGCTGTGCTGAGTGGGTACGTGCATGCACGATGCTCAGCAAAATACAAATGTGCATTAATTTACACGTGAAATTACACAGGAACTTCAGGGAGAATCTGGCATACTCTGGTACAGAGATGCTTCTTGCAGTCTGACAGAACGCATATGTACTGCACTCAGCAGGACAAGGCTAGGGCTGATGTGCACAAAAATCCAGATCTACAGAGATATTTAGGTGCCATTAATGAGCTTTCTCATTAAGTATCAGCTGAATCCCTCTTTGCCCAGCCAATGGTTTGCCATTGAAATCCGTGGAAGTGAGCCCACTGCGTGTGCCCGTGGCTCTGGAAGCTAGCGTTCATACTCCTCATACCACAGCAGAGCCCCGATCCCGGCAAAACAGAAAGGATCAGGGTCAACAAGTTGTTCCCATGTAACAGCAAGGAAACACACCATTTAACTCCTTACATTCATCAAATGTCGTCTTACAGAAGAGAGGTGAATTGTGACACTGCTGCAATGAAAACAAAAAACATAACAGGGACCAGCTATTTGTGATGCGGTTC